CGATAACGTGAGAAAGGCCGATACCGCCCGGAGTAGATGATTAGGCATGGGTATAAGCCCTGGCAAGATGAAAGCAGAGTCAGCGCGGTAGGCTCCCACACACTAACCCTAATAGTGAACCAAATCTTAACTGTGATCCCAAATTTCATCCCGGTCTCAACTTTCTTGTAAATTAACGCAATACCACCTGTACTGCAGACAGATCATATTCCCATATCCTGGTAGGGCAAGTAAGCTTCTCCTACCAAAAGACGCCCCATAAATTATGAACATGTGATATTAGTATCCTACTCAAGGTAAGCCATGCTTTCTAAGGTGCTCTGGACTGCAGGATATTTACTGAAGTGATTGATTTTCTCAACTTAAGTAACCCCGACATCAAAGTGAATGACTAAGAACGCACAGCTGTAGTATGATTGGTAAAATCACTTGCTCTAAAACGAATGTGAAGGGAACGCCTAGTCCGAAAATACATTTGGACCAAACAAGGAGGAACCTCAGTAAGTGAAACCTAGACTACACAATTCCGAGCGGAAGTAACGCTTAGCGATTGTTCAAGGGTGAAAGTATTTTCAGCATATATTTATTTTAGTTTCAGTAATGAGTACAGTGCAAGCGCTGTTTTTTTATCTTCTGCAAAAAAACTGTCATGCGAACAAATAGTTGCAATTTGTGCCGTTTATGTGGAGAATGTACTTTGCTTGGGATTGATGCTGTTTCAGCTGATTTGTAGTGTTCAGAAAACGATGCGTACTTCTGCAGCGACCGTTTACATGAAAGGGAGTCATTCTTTTAATTTACTGGGAATTCAACTTCGGTGAAAAGGCGAATTGCTGCGCTTCGACAGTAAATTATCCGCAATCTCTTGCCTGATGCTAGTTCGACCATCGATTTTGATCATGTCCACCATATGCTCAAGAGCACGGATGATGACTGGAGACTGAGACGAGATTTAAATGAAATAGACTCGTTATTGTCTACCCCTCATTCTAAACCCTTACTCGTTTAAGTCGCTGACAAGACAGAGGCAAGATGACCGAACGGGATCAGGCCTAAGTTAGTACTAAGTGACAGCAGTCTTTTGCGCTGGTACTAACACATTATTCCCCCTCCCTCACCTTCAGTAGGTGTCAAGACAGATTCAAGGAAACCAAGGCTGATACTGCTACCACTATTTCAACTTCTGCGAACTAACAGTGTAGCTGAGCGATAGTAGTCCTTGTACTATTACTGATGCTATTATTATTCAGAAGTGGCGCTGACTAAAGTCAGTGCTGGGCTCGTATTCCCTCAATCTTAACAAGAAGTGTGCACCTCTGAGTATGCTATTCTGTTCTGTTTGAAGCCCGGAGCACAACATGGCTTTCCTTGATTTTCGCCCTCTCACTTCTGTCCACCAAAAGCTGCGTCACATTTTACTAAGTTTGGGCTAGGATACTGCTGCTAGAGATCTTGTCACTGGTAAGAGTGCTAATTCTAGTAATCATACTTACTAAGACTAGTGAATATTATGTTCCAGTAATATCTTCCTATCATTGTATCAATAGCCGACATGCATCCTATTATTGCAATAAGCCTAAACACCTTATGAATACTGCTCTCACCTTTAAGGCATACTTCCATGTTAACCAAAAGTCTGACTGGTTATTTTTTATTATAAACAACAGCTTGATGCCCCTCTATGCATGATCTCGGATCGATTTAAAGCAGCTAAAATATTTTTAATTCAGGGGCCTTGAGGGGTCTATTGGTTGCAACTGAAGACGGAAACGAGACAGCAATTTACTATTATTTTGTTTCCTTTTTCGTACAGGCTCTTGAAAAAGTTCTACGTCTTATGCCCATCGACCGTGAACTGGCAGACTATGAAGGCGACGCCACAGTCGTCAAGCCCAACGCCGGGGCCGAGGCCATTGGCATGTCGGACTTCCTGAAGACCATGGACCGGCCTCCTGTGAGCTTCTTGGTGGATCTAATCAAACCCAGTGCAGGGCCTACAGATGATGCAAGTTCAGCGGATGAGAGCGAAGCCTTCGAGAAGGGTGGAGGTGAAGTGGGAGCCGGAGAATCGGGAGGCGCAAGGTCCGTCCTAATCGCTGAGAAA